AAGTGCAAAAGTAGCCACCCAGAAGGGGGGGGGGGCCAAGAAAGGGGCGCGAGGCACGAGCACAAGCAACGGTCCGAGGAGGACTGGTTGCTCCTTTTGCCTCCAGCGGTTTTGCACGAGCGTTTCGGCACGACCATCGCCGTCCCGACGGGCTACGCCAGGCTCTGGGAAGCAAGGAAGCGGGAGAGGAGAAAGTGAAACACCGAGAGCCTCTTCTGAAGCTGGAGTTAGCGAGCGGAAGCGGCTGAAGTTTCTGCAATATTTAAGAGCGCTTGAGTATTGAGAGTGAAAACAAGCAGCTGAAGAACGTGTTGTTCCCCCCCCCAAAGCAGAAAAACTTCCTGGTTTTCCAGTTTGCTTCTTCGAAGAGCAGAAAGGGCCTAAAACAGCAAGAGAACAAGGGAAAAGCCCGCGGCAGGTTTGCCAGAGCGCGCCTGTGAAAACCCCGAGCGAGCTTCCCGTTCTCTTGCTGCGCGTTTTGTCAGGTCCGGGCTGTGCGAGGCTGCGACGGGCAACGCCCCAGCCCCTCGGCGCCTTCTGTGGGGCCGCGAATTTGGCCGCCCGCGGCGCTGGCGGGAAGACGCCCGGCGCACGCAGCAAGCCGACGACGGTACAAACGCCGCGCGCGCTCCCAGCCGAACCCAGGGGGACCCAGCAAGGATGGGGGGGGGAAGCCGAGGAAAGTAAACGAGGCCCCAGGGAAATTAAGGCAAAGTGGAAGTCCTGGCAGAGCGAGGCAGTAATTTCCTTTCTGAACGAGTAACTGTTTAGAATTTAACCAGGCGAACACGATTAAACGAAATGAATATAAATTCTGGGTGCGGTAGTAAGCAATGAAGTGAAGAAAATGAACAGCGCCTAATTAACGGGAAAATAGGATCCGCCGTTAACGCGCCGGAATCTAACGAAAAACGAAGGTTCAACTTCCCCTTTCAGAATTTTCTTTCCAGAGGGGAGAAACACCCCCCCGTTCCACACCCGGGGGAGCCATGAAGCGCTCGGGAGGAGCGGAGCAGCGGGAGGCGACGGGCCGGGCGCCCGAGCGGGAACCCCCACCCCA